AAAAAGAAATATTCTTGAAAATAAGCAAAAAATAAAATGGTAATAAAGTGTACCTATAAAATTTATAATTTCTAATAAAATAATTTCTCCTAGCTTTAACTTAAAAGTACCATAAAATTTAATAGTAATTTAATCCTAATGAAATGAATTTAATAATTGATTATTTAATATTATTTTAATATTATTTAATTTGTTCAAATAATATGGTTTAGATTTTTTTGAAAAAATATTAATTTACTAGGATTATCGAAGTTTTATAAGCGATTATTCGATTCTAATCTATTTTCTTTTAGAATTTTTTCCTTATTTTTCTATTTATTGAGAAATGAGAAATGCCAAGAAATATTTTGTGGGTTGATTTTCACAAATCCTTCACAATACAAACAAATACTATTCAAATAATTTTCACTGAACAAACAAATCTATGCAAATTCATAGATGATAAATCAACGATCAATCGACTTTTCAGGCCAAATCACTTTTTTTTTTTAAGGATAGAAAATTAGCCTAAAGCATAATTCAGCCAAATTTCATTTCTTTTAATGCAATGATCGATCACAACGTCATAATCTTTACAAAATACAAAAATATTTCCATAGTTAATTAAAAATTATAAAATAAAATTTTATTTATTCCTAAATATTTCCATAGTTATTAAAAAATTATATTAAAAATTATAAAATAAAATTTTATTTATTTCTAAATATTTCCATAGTTATTAATCAAAAAATTATAAAATAAAATTTTATTTTTTATTAAATATTTCCATAGTTATTAATTAAAATTATAAAATTTTATTTTTTATTAAATATTTCCATAGTTATTAATTAAAAATTATAAAATAAAATTTTATTTATTTGATTGAAAAATATTGGAAAAAAATATTTTATTGTAATTAATTCGGATTAATTTGGAAAATTTTAGATAGGAAAAAAAAAAGAAAATTTAAGAGTAGTCGAAAAGAGTTTATAATAATGGATGGCTAGTGAGGATTAACGAGATGAAAAGAAAGAATATTTTAAAAAGAAAAATTTTCTATTCTCGAAAATTTTAGAAATAAATAAAATATAAAAAATATTTATAATAAATATTTTTATATTTTAATTTTTATAATAAAGATTTTTAATGATAATTTTTATAATAAATTATTTTAATAATAATTTTTAATTTTATAATTAAAAATAATTAATAATTTAATAATTTTAATAATAATTTATGATCAGAAACTTAATAATAATTTTAATTTTATAATAATAATAATTTAATATATTAAATATTTAAATAATAAATATTTAATATATTAAATAATTTAATAATTTTTAATAATAATTAGTAATTTTAATAATAATAATAATTTTTTTAATAAAAATATTTGTAATATTTATTTATAAAATATTTATAATAATGGATGGCTAGTGAGGATTAACGAGATGAAAAGAAAGAATATTTTAAAAAGAAAAATTTTCTATTCTCGAAAATTTTAGAAATAAATAAAATATAAAAAAGCATAAATTTAGAGAGTGAAATTGATAGAAGGGCAATGGTAAAAATTATAAAATGAATTAAATTAAATTTTTTAAATTAATTTTAAAATTTTTTAATTAATTTTTAAATTAAATATTTATTATTTATAAATATTTAATTTATTGGATATTATTTATAAAAAATTAATCATAAAAATTAAAAATATAATTATTTAAAATTTTAGATTTTTTCTATTTCTTAGTGGAACATAAAATTAGCAGAAAAGAGAGACCTTTTGTTTTATCAAAACAATTTAAATCGAATCATCAAATCATCACCTAATTTTTAACCAATAACATTTTTTTTTTTCAAGAGGACCACCATTAGTTTAGCGGTTAAACTCGCTTCGCTGGTTTGTCGCACTAGGCAAATATGCCAGGGAATCGCTTGGCGATAGAAATACAATTGAGTCACCAGGCATCATCCTGGATTTTTGGACATTTAGATTTACACTCTTGCTGGATGTAGAATTTCAGTATCGCCGTTCCGAATTGAGCAACAAGCAAGCCACTCAATCATTCTATTCTCTTTTGTTTTTCTCCTTTAGACGACACTACTACGAGACGTCTGAATAGTGATGCGTCGACTCCCATTCGAGTCCGAGCCTCGGTTCTCGATAGCAGTCGTCTTGCCACTGGACCACTGACATACTACCGCCTCAGTTACCAGTGGAACATTGCATCCCTGGCTAAATACCTTCAATTGCAATTGCTAAATGACTAAAAATAAAATCATTTTTTTTTATCAGCCAAATTACTTTCTTCAGACGATTTTTAAATTTTAAATTAAATATTTATTAATATAAATTTTAAATTATAAATTTATAAATAACTTATAAATTTTTTCTCTAAAAATTTCGCTTATTAAATTTGAACTTTTTAAAATGAATTTTTGCGATTGTCGACGATAAATAATTCAAAAATTCCGAAAATTATTAATTTTTGAAAATTTTTTTTTTGCAAATCTCTTAATTTTCCCTAATATTTCATCGATATAATTTCGAATTTATTAGTTAGAAAATGAAATGATTTAATAAATAATTTAATCTTCAATAATCAATAATTCTTAATTCAATTTATTAACACTAAATAAATAGATCATTTTTCAAAATTTGTGCAAATTTTTGTTAATAAATTAATAAAAAATAATAAAAAATGAAAATAGCAAAATAGCAAAAATAGTAACAATTTTAATCAACAACAATAGTTTAGTAATAACAATAATAGTAATAATAATAATGACAATATTGGTAATAATAACAAAAAAATAATAATAATAATTAATAATAATTAATAATAATAATTAAAAATAATAAAAATAATTATTATTATTATAATTAAAAATAACAGTGAAAATAATAATAAGAAAATAAGAGAACAATAAAAAATAATAAAAGAAATAATAAAAATAGCAATTATAATAATCAATAGTAATAATTAATAATAAAAATAATGCTATGAATAATAATAAAAGAAAAAGAAAAAAAGCAATAAAAAATTCGAATTATGAAGATATTTTTACCGAAATAATTGCATATGCGAATAAATGATTTGTCGATAAAAAATGATTCAATTCCAATAAATTTTTTTTTTTTTTTTTAATTCGTAAAAATTCGACATTTAGTTAAATTTAATTTAATTAATTTAAATTATTTATTATTGTAAAAATAATTAAATTGAATTTAATTAATTAATTAATTAATTGAAATTAATTTTGCGTAAAAATTGAATTAAAATCTTTTGTGAAAGATTTATGGAAAATTTATATAAATTATTAATTATTAATTGATAATTATTAATTGATAATTTATATTAATTATAGCACTAATTGGTTTTATGGACGAATTAAATAATTCGTCTAAGTGCGGAGAAAAATTTATTTCAATCTTTTTTTTTTTATCAATAAATATTTATCATAGAAAAAATGATTATCAAGTTTATCAACTGAAAATATTATTCTTATTTAAATTAAATAAAATATAATATTATCATTTGAATTGAAATTTGAATTTAGTATTTAATAGTATTTTTTCTTTTATCTGATTTTATATTAGATGAATCCTGGCAGTGACAATTTTAGAAATCTTTAGTTTAATCAACGATAGGAATTTTAATTTCACCCGAAACATCCCTGCCTACCCCCTCCTCAACACCCCTTCTCCAATACCCCCTCCCCCGTCGATCTCCACTAAAAACTTAATTAAAATAACGAAGAGATTTGATTTATACTTGAAAGATATTTCTTTGGTGCTTTGGTATAAGTTAATGCAAATAGTATAGCAAAGTATTGTATTGTAACTTTATGATTTTTCGTTGAATTTAAATAATATTAAAGGTAAAATGGTTTAAAATTTGTAATAAATAATTTTTTAATTTTTTCATAGCATTAAAAATTAGTTGAATTATCCGTTAAAATTAAAATTAGTGAAATGAATTATCCGTTGAATATAAGTTTCGTGCCTTTAATATCGAATATTTTTAAGCTAAATTGAATAAAATTATTTAATTTTCAATTTTTTATACGGTTTTCGTGGCTTTTTTTTTTTTTTTTTAATAGAAAATTCTTTACGTTTATTAGATATTTATTGGTGCGAACGATTAATATAAGAGGGAATATAGCCGTAGCCTTAGGGCATCGCTCAACCTTAATAAAAAATTAAAGCCTCTCCTCCTTGGAGATGATAACTCGTAATTCATCAAACTTTATCATTTTTATCACTTTATCACTTTTCTGTCCTTTAAATCTCGAAATATTTCAATATTTCCATTCCATTGTTTTTTCTGAGCGAAATATTGCAAATTTTTAAAAAAATCATGAGATCAGTAGTGACAATAGTAGTCGCCTTCGTATCTAACACCACTACTGGTTGGGCTGGCTCGGCTGGCTATAAGGGTAAGACGTCTCCAAGCTATTTATTCCGATGCTGATAGTAAAAAAGCCATTTCTTTTTCCATCGTCCAAGTGTATATACCGCTGGTCCACCTATATTCTTTCCTGACTGTGCCAGTTCCAGGTCTTGATTGAACCACCTCGCTTTTGACACCATCCGTTACAAAGCTTTAATAAATAAGGAAGTGTCAACTCTTGTGGTGGGCGACAAAGAACTAGTAAAGACGGCTTTCTGTGATGGTACCATTAATATAAGTGCTTTCTGAGTGAGTGTATATGCAGCCATGTGTGAACCCCTAAGATGTGTCTTAGACTGTCGTCTTTAGATGATTCAATTATTTAATCATTTTCATTTAATATTTTAAAAATCTAATGGTTAACGGTGTTGTAATTGCTTATATTTAGTTTATTTTAGTCAAAAAATTAATCGAATAATTTTTCCTAGAAATTTCAAAATTGAAATATTTTAATCCCTAAAATCCTTAAAAATTTCTTCTTCTTAGGCTTAGGCTTAGGCTTAGGCTTAGGCTTAGGCTTAGGCTTAGGCTTAGGCTTAGACAAATTTTACAAATTTAATATTAATTTATTTATTCAAATTGTTTCTTCAAATTTTGCGGTTTATATAATTTCAATTGATCTTTCCAACGTTGCTCGATTTCATTTGCATAAGAGCAATGATTTGCTATAATTTTACATTTTGGTAGGAATCTTTTAAATAAATTGGCACTTTCGGAATCGAAAATACGAACACCAGAAACATCGAGAAATATCAAAGATTTTAAATTTATCAAATTTCGTATTCCTATTCGTGTAACCTGAAATTTACTCATTGAATTAGCTGAAATTTCTTTTCATGAATATCACTTCGAATGGATTATTGGATTATCCATTATAAGTATCACTAAATTCACTAAATTCTAAAAAATCCAAATTTATAATTATTTTTATTTTTGCCAAAATTTCATATATTAAAATTGAAATACTTACATTGCGACAGAATTTCAGCTCAAGTTTTTGTAATTTTGTACATCCAGAAATAATCAATTCTAACGAATAATCTGTAACACTCGGCTGACCGTTCATATTTAAAGATTTAAGCTTATGGCATCGCCCATTTGATTTTATTCCTTCTTCAGTTAGTTTCGCACACGTTTCAAGTGATAATTGTTCTAGTCGATCGCAATTATTTACTATATTTATGAATTGCTCATCATCGAGATTGTCTCGATTACCATTTAAGAATAGTTGTCTAAAATTTATAAGAAACTAAATTTGATAACAATTTATTTTTGATAAATTATTAGAACATTAGATAGGCGGAGGGATAGAATAGCTCGATGGGTTATTGATCAATTCGAAGCGCCAATATTGAGGTTCTGCTCCCCGCAAGAGTAAACCTATCCAAAAAAACAGGATGATGCTGGCGATTCTATTTTTACCACCAAGTGATTTCTTGGCATATTTGTCCAGTGCGACAAGGGAGTCAGTCTAACTAGTAATGGTGATATAGTTGTTAGAAGAAGAAAATAGATTTTAAAATGGAAAAAAAAAACATATATACTTGAGTTTTGTGAGTCGAATAATCGGTGTGAAATTTGTAACATTTCTCGAATATGAAACATTAAGGTATATCAAATTTGGACAGTTATCCACGAGAGTCAACAAAGCATGATCAGTCATATTGGATCTTTCAATGTCAAGAAAGCGTAAACTGAAATTAAGCGCTTTAGTTGAAAAATTCTATTTTTTTCCCAGGCAATTTATCTCAATCAATTATCAATTATCAATTGTCAATAATCAATAATTAATTTGTCTTAATTTAACCTGATTCAATAATTATTCAATTAGTACAATAAAAGAAAAGTTTAAAAAAATTTTCATGAAAAAATTGACAAACTATGAAAGATTTTTGGTAAAATCCATTTCCACTAATTGTAAAGCATTTCCAGCTGATATAAATAATATTGTGAGGCCAGATGGCAGATATTCTAATAAATCATTATCAATGATAAGATGTCCATAATAGAAACCACGACCCTTGGAATTCATTTCAAATCACATTATTGCATGAATTTTTAAAAATAGTATTCTTTATTAATGTAATGGTTTTTGAAGTATTTATTTATTTAAAAATTATAAAAACATCAATAAAATGCTACTAAATTTATTCTTCATTCACTATTCCTGATTAGGCCGGTGGCTGACTGGTTGCGTTAACCGAATCACCAGAGAATTATTTAGGAACAGAAATTAAAAACAGAGCCCATGCCTATATCCAGTAATAGTATATATAGTAATATCCATCCAGATGAGCTCTGGAGGACAATAAACAAATTTCTTAAATATATTTGAATGCCATCTATTTTGCTCAAAATAAACTTGAGATCATCCAATGATATAGTTTAATATACTATTATAGTAAATTCTTTCAATCCAGAACATCTTCGGAATACTGTTATTAACGCATTGCGAATAGTCCCAGATTCTGTGGCATCAATGACACAAGAATTGATCCTCAGTACCTATAAAATTCAGCTCAAAACTTCACTTTTGACAGATTTTCACTAAAAATATGCTTCTATTTTACGATGAAGATGAAAAAAAAAAATTGAAATCTGACCTCAAGCGATTGCGGCATTAGGTCGAATAGAGTGAAGAGACTTGGTGGAAGGAATGCACTGAAAACTAGAAATCATAGTATCAAAAAGCTCATAAAGCTATTTCCATTTGTTATCTTTTATTCTAGAGGGAGATATCAGTTATTGTTATCAGAGCAGAAAAAAGATGCTTATCAAATTTCAAAAAATAAAAAGAGAAAAATAGCACGGTATAATTTACCCGTATAATTCGATTTTTTTTAAATTTGGTGAATGACGAAAAAGTTTTAGGATAACGCCGGGGTCAAGCGTGGTTCTTGGATTAAAACCACAAACGAATTTGCGGTCAATACCAAAACGAAATGTTGTTACAGAATTTCCGCATCGGTCTAGAAAATTTTTTGAATTAATTAAAAAATAAATTTTTTATTAAAAAAAAAAACTAAATGAATTCAGTTAAAACTATATATCTCTCGCCTATCATAAGTCTATTTTTAAAATACTATTTTTATCACTGTAGAATAATTTCTAAAATTTTCAAATTTATCAAGTTATTATCATTCATTTTATCACAAGGTGATTAATAGTTGATTGGTGAATTTAATTAAATTTTAACACATGGAATGAAATTTGAAAATGAATTTTAAAGACAATGATTAATGATTTATGAGAGATAATCCGAATTATGCTTAGGCGATTCATTTCTATCGTTAAATAAGATTCGCTAGTAAAAATGTGCCTTGCACCGATAAGCCAGTGGACCGAGTCAGAAATGGTGTTCTTAGAAAGCAAGAAAATGAAAATATACCTAGCATTGCCTCAATATATTTTGACCAATAATTTCGAGGAAGATCTTTACATAAAACCTCGGAATCTATCGTTTGCCTTGCCAGGCATAATTCACGTATTCGCTTCATCCACTGCTTTGATACTTGTTTGCAAAGTAATTGGTCACGAGCGGATAATTTTGACCAAATATTTCGCCATATATCATCCATTTTATCTGCGTTATCATGCGTTATCAACAAAATCAATTAAAATTCCAGAATTATCTCTTAAACTCAAATATAAATTGCTATTAATTCCTAATTAAATGATTAATAGTTGGTTGGTGAATGTTGCCGAATAGCGAAGGAACAGATAAGGTCAGACCATCTGTAATGCGTCTATGATATGCCCCTTTTCCTCCATTAAAAAATTGAGAAGTGGAAGGATTACTAGGCGAAGTAGAAATTTAAAGGACTAAACAAAGATAGATGCGTTTTTCATCTTGAGAAAGCTAAAGATGAAGAAAACCATCTAATGAACCGTTTCTGTTTGGTCACTTGGGAATCGTGGAGACGGGTAATGGAAGCGAGGAGAAGGGGAGAGTGATGAAAGGAAAAAGAAGAGGAAAAGGAAAATTGATGACATTTGGAAGATATTTGTTGTTGCATGAAGCACTAATTCCTTTCTCTACTTTATCGTTGATCGGATATAGTTGTAGCTTCATCTTATATGTACCAATATTTAATAGTTGTACTTTTGTATACAATATTTCCTGGAAAGTAGGATGGCTTAATGGGATTGTTGCTCAGTTCAGCGTCAATACTGAAGTTCTACTTCCCACAAGAGTAAACCTGTCCAAAAATCCGAATAATACTGGCGACCTATCTGTACTTCTATCGCTTAGAGACTTATTGAACTACAATATTCAAATTGTGTGGAAGGCACAATGTTTAAATATGGAAGAAAAGAAGAATCTCCAGAAGGACGCTGAAGAATTTTATTTATAGGAATCTGGAGATCACTAAAAATTTATTGAAATTGAACAAACCTAAGTCAAGCATATAAAATTTGGCTTGGCTTTTCCTTAAGCGAAGTGATCATTACAAGTGCAATTCGATGAATTTGGTGTCCCCCACCTGTACTTCTATTTGCAAATCTTTCTGGAGAAAATGTGAACCAAACAAATGAACCAATAAACCAATGGTGAATGGTGAACCATGATAATGATAATGAACCAATGGTGAATGGTGAACCATGATAATGATAATGAACCAATGGTGAATGGTGAACCATGGTAATGATTAATGCTATTAGAAAAAGATTTTCATTTGAAATGAATCTATGGTACTCGATGGTTAAAGACTCAATGTAAAAAAAAAACGAACAGGCCAAAAGCCTTATTCAGTTGAAGATAATACCTAAGCTAAGAAATTTAAATCAATACAAACAAATTCGTTAATGTTGATAGAGATCGAGTTGTAAAACTCGGTGATATTTATTAAGCGATCCAAGCTTCGTTTCCTATAGAAGTTTATAGCTCATGATACAACGCTGATTTCAATTATCCGCTAAGATAATGATAAAAAAATTATCAATAAACTGAGAACACTTCTTCTTCTTTATTGAATAGAAATTCTTGGAAATAGAAAACGCATAACGTTTCCGGCTTGGCTAACTCCACTGGCTAATAGTAGGGGTTTTTTTTTGCCAGTGAGTAGACAAATGGGTCCTCAGAACCACTCGTTTGGCTTTCTTTTATTAATCAATCTACAAATTGTTATAATATAGTAAATTCTGAGGTAATTTATATTGATGTATAGGTGCATTGGTGTTCGCAGCAGCAATAGACTGAAGATAATAGCGAAATTCCGCTGAAGAACTGAGGTCATACAACTTTAGATGATTTTATGAATTTTAGTTTACCACTGGAAGAATCAAACCACAGTTAAATTTAGTTTTCGTTTCTGACGAGCGAAATTGCCCGAGAGAACCCCTCTTGCATAAATAACTTTAATCGTTTTGGCCCGAGTAATGCTGGCGATCACCTGTATTTCTATCGATAAGTGGCTCCTTAGCAAAATTTGCCCTTTCCAGAAGACCTGTGGAACGTGTCTAACCAGAAATGGCGTGCGTTTGATAGCATTGGCATTGAAAATTAAGTAATGATTAAATAGTTATCTAATGATAATTGGTTTCGCTTTATCAAGATTGATAAGATAAATTATAAGAATTTTAAAACTACACTTAATTTTAATTTTATAATTCTTAATAGAGCATAATTGTTTATTTATTAGCTTAATAATAGAAAATGTTTCAAAGTAATAGAAAATGTTTACTTTAACCAGTTTACTATGCTTAAGAAGCTAAATGAAGGAGCTATGTGGTATATCATATACGAATGCTTTATCACTGTTGATAAGATAAATTATCAGATTGGCTACCGAGATTTCTAAAAATCGAAGCCAAAATTTTCGTCAACTTTCAATGAATGTATGGCATAAAATAATAGAAAATGAGAGAAATTCTAACGTTAAATTCGTAGAATTTTGCGTTATCAATAGATGATTTAATTTATAATTTATAAAATTATAATTTATTCTTTTTTTCTTGCATTTATCTTATTTATCATTTATTTATCTTATCATTTATATTGATAATTCGATAATTTGATTCACCACAACTGAAATCGACTTATTTTCAGATTTATTTTTGCGATATATGAATGCATAAATTTTGTAAATAAAATTTATTCAATGTTCATTTTATTAAGATTTATTAGTTTTTTTCTTTTAATAATATTTAATATTTTATTTAATATTGCTAATTTAATATTTTAAAATTGGATTTTGAAAGGCTTTTTAAATTAATACGAAAAGTTTTAATAATAATTCACAAATTTTAATTTTAATCATAATTTTAATAATTCACAAATCACGTTTTCACGTTGATTTCTACAAGTCACGTGTGATCTTTACGCGTAAAATCACATATATTTCTATAATTCAACCAATATTAGAGTAATAAACTCAAAAAACCTGTGCGGCCACAACAAAACAACCTGATTTATTCAACACCTATTTATAAAACAAATATATCCAGTTGAACAAAATATGACCAATTTATTTCATCTGGTACGACATTTAGCATTTGATATTTTATATTATCTGAGTTTATTTTGATATAGGTAAGTAGGTAAATGGTGGGGAAGTATTTGTCAGATCGGATGCGGGATTTTCGTAATAAAGCAGAATTATGTGAAATGTTTTAGGTCACTTATGAATTTATACTAGAAGGAGATGTAGAAATTTGTTTAGACTAAAAGTAAACTAGTAAAAATAAGTAATCTTTTTATTGGAATTATAATAGGAGTGAATGGCACCGTGAAAAAGATTGATAAGCGAGGAAAAAGTACCATTAAAAATTAGAGATTACGTACTGCCAAATGGTACCAAGGCAGTACCTAATGATGACACCGTGAAAAAAGTTGATAGGTGAGAAAAAAAGTATCATTAAAATTTAGAGATTACGTAGAGATTGCGAAATGGTACCAAAGCAGTGCCTATTACACTGTATTAGGCTATACAATCCACGTATTTTATTAGCTGCGCTAAAATCAGTACTATTGCAGAGTAAATTTAAAGGAAATGGTAGAAGATGAAATCGCAGAGAATGAAAAGCGTAGCGCAGTAAGACTTGAATCATTTGTGGTTGGTTTTTTCATGTTTTTTTTTATCTTTTACTGGTTTAATATAAATTTGCAAAACGCAACTATTATTTTATTTGCCAATTTTCTCTCCTTCTAGACATCCACCATTTTTGTTTTGGCTACTAATAAGGCCATTCTGCTATCGGTTCATCGTTTTTAAAGATACTTAAATAAATTATCAGTCCACTCGAATTTTGATATTTAATGATATTTTTATTTCCATGGTACTCTCGTAGATTTCAGTGGAGGAAATATACCACCTGATTTTCGTACCATTAAAGGACTTTTTGGTTTCTTGCAGATGTATATGTTGCTTTGGTAAGGGATTAGAGGGGTTAGGATTACTTCGCATTAATGGTTCTTCTTTTCTTTTCAGTATTATAGACCTCACAGAGATTTGGTGGGAATGATAGATTAAAATTTTTAAAAAACTTTTTAAAAATCTTGGATTCATTTGAGAATCTGTGTATTTGTTAAAGGCTTTGATAAAATCTACAGATCGATTTAAGAAATGTGTCTAATGAGTCTCTCTACTTCTTTCACCTATATCTTCCATCGTCGCTGCTCTATTTCAATTGACTCGGTCGTGTTATTTTCAACATGTAATCTACCTATTTATGAAGACTTTCTGCCCTTTAATGCTACCATTGTGTTAAATCTAACAATGATCTAGCAAGTTGTTGTAGATTAGGTCACTATGAAAAGTGCTTTAATTTATTTATTTCATTGAAGAATCTTTAAGATTTTTCTTTTTTCTTCAATTTTTTAAAGTTTTATTTTATTTTACATATGAATCGTCTTAGATTTTACTCATTTTAATTATTTTCCTGATGGTTTGTAATAAATATGATAATGAATTTTCAGGCAGAGTTACCTTGCCAGACCAACGAGCATCCACTGGAATTCACTTATGTTTTTTCATATTTTATTAGACCTCAAGGTAAATTCGATCCTGAAGACTATGCGCTTTACGTGCAACCTGTCGCATCGTTTAATTCGGTGGAACAATTCTGGAGAACTTATTTGCATTTAAAGCGGCCATCAGGTTACTAGCTTCCTTTTAATTTCATTAATCAATATTCTCGCTATGGATATTAGAAATTTTCCATTTAAATAGCATTGGGTCGTATTTTATAAACACTCGTACTCTCAGTTTGCATTTTAGCCTTTTCTTTTTCTTCTAATATCACGCGCTATTTTTATTTTCGTGAATGCACTAGATGAGACAGTTTCGCATTTTAGGAATGGGCCCCTATTTCACTTTTAATGCCTGGTTTATTTGTCAGATGTTAATGTGTGGTTTATTTATTTCTGTCATGTGAAATTGGAATTGGAATAACTGGAATTTAGCCCATTATGCTTGATCCTGATTGAAGCAATTTATTATTTGATCTGAAGTGTACGACCATCCTATCGATAATTAAACCACAATGCGGAATGCATTCCATTCAGTTTATGATTTGTGAAACATACGCGTGAAGCACTCACATACAATTTGTATCAATTGAGATAAATATTATAATCGGTTATTATGCGAGAAAATTGCGTTAAAAGTGGAAAAAAAATTTATCGCCATTTCTTTACAGATGTAACTGATAAAGTTGATTTCCACATGTTTAAAAAAGGAATCAAACCAGTTTGGGAAGATGCTGCTAACTGTAAAGTAAGTTGATCATGTCATTTTCCACTATACATTTATATCCGATATTTTTATTGTTTCAGGGTGGTAAATGGATTTTACGCTTAAAAAAAGGTTTATCATCAAGAATATGGGAAAATCTATTGCTAGCGATGATTGGCGAACAGTTTTTGGTTGGCGAAGAAATATGCGGCGCAGTTTGTTCGATTCGCAATCAGGTAATATTCCCCTATTATTCCACATTTGTTCTTCATTTTTATTATTTTACATTTTTTTCTATAAATTATTAGAATTTGTGAACTATATTTTTCATCCAAGAAACTTATAATTTTAATTCCCCTTTTCTAATTTTGATAGACTAACCTATTTTTTTATCCATTTATCCAGTATTCAATTATACGCATTCACTTTTGTTGTCTCAGTAATTTCTAAATGTTACTTTTAAAGTATCAGATTGCTAAAAAGATCAGTTTTACAGCTTTTGAACTCAAATTGTGCAAAATTTTTAGGAAGATATCGTATCACTGTGGAATCGTACTTCAGACAACGTTGGTACGACAAATAGAATACGCGATACGTTGAGGCGTGTGCTCAATTTACCTGTTAATGCTGTTCTCGAATACAAACGTCATGATGATTGCTTGAAGTATATTCTTTCAAATGCCACTTTTTCATTATTTTCGCTTACTTATTTTGATTGATTCTTGTTTTGATTGCTTTTTAAATTTTTTTCTTTTAATCACTACTAATTTTCATTTCACTAATTTTCATTTACATTCAGTGTCCATTTAATTTTTTTTTTACTTTTTTAAGAAATTTAATTTACTTATTTACTAAATTTACTACTTCAATTTTTATTATTTTTCTAAAGAAATTGAATTATTTTATTTAAATAATTTTCTGCGTTAATATTTTTATTTTACATCATTAATATTTTTACAAAGTTTATTTTTCAAGTAGTTTTTGAGGTTATTAATGTTTTTTAACCACTTGAAATTTAATTTTATAACATTTTTTATATCAGTCTTTTAGTTCTTTCTTTAATTTCGAAAAGGTAAGTGGAAGGAAAATTTAATATGGAAAATAGATATTCCATTGAATACTGTTTTGAATTTGATAAAATTAATAATTTAGCAAAATATTTGAACAAAATTTGACAAAATTTAAATATTTAATAAAAATTAATAAAATTTAATAAAATTTCTCTACAATTGCAATTTTTTTATTGGATAATTTATTGGATTTTATTGCCACGAAATCTTTTTGAATTTTTTGTTAGAATTAATATAGGCTTAAACGACCTGAAATTAAGTTGCTTATTGTTCTTTGATTTATATTATAATTTATAATTCGATTTGTGTTTCGTCGTTTAACTCCTTTTCTTCAAATTCTCTAGAGAACAAGTTTTTAATAAGGTGGGGAAATATGTGCGATCAGCATATTAACATTCGACTTTCTTTTTTCTTCTTTCGATTATCAAATAGGTTTAGGACGAGTTTTCATAAAGAAATTTTAATTTATTTATTCTGCAGCCTGTGTTATCAAAATTTATAGGACTTTCATAAATAAATCAATCTGAGGGCATCGCAATTTACATATTTTACAATAACGTTCTTTAAAGTATAGCTAGTGGAGTTCCATTCTACTTTTTCTATCATTATTAATCTTTCATGTGTTATGACTTATTTTCATTTGTGTTATTGTTTTACCTTAGTTTTCCTATATTTAACAACTAAACAATTGTTGGAGATATATTATTATTATTTTAAATATAGGAAAACTTTTTTTCAGGGATCAGAGTAGTTATCGTCATACGAATTTGGATCCAATCAGACGATGAAGAAAATTATATTGATGTTCGTTTTATCGAAAAGAAATGTAATTTAATGTGAAATGAACTCTACCTGTTTGTGAATTTATTTTTTTTATATTTTCCTGTTTTTCTTTTACTATTATTTTTAAAAATTTAATCGATATTACTGAATTTTATATTGTGATGAATGTATGATATTTTTTAAATTTAACTTGCAATTAGCTAGTTGAAATAACGTTTAAAAATTAGTTGTTCGTCTCGTTTTCTAGGCTTTCGATCTAGGATTTCTATATTATAAGTGATAAATTATAAAAAATAAGTTTATGGAGAATTGAAATCATATGGAATTTATTGATAAAGACTTGAAATATTTCTTAGTATTCTTAATTTTTAACAAAGCAATTAGTTTTACTTTTATGAATCGTTTATGAGTTTGTTACATAATTTTTATAAATCTTCTCTTTTAAAATGAATCAAATAGATCGAAACGCCAGAAAATGTTTTCTAGCAATGCTTTGAAATTTTTCCGTCCATTTTTAAGTTTATAAGTTAAGAGTTTTGTTTAAGCAAAAAAAGTGGTCGTATAATCGTAGAAAATCTTAGCATTCTATAAGTTGACGAGCGTATTGTATTCGATATTAGGAAGAATATTTCCTTGAAAAAAATACTAAAATATCGATATAAAGCAGAAATATAGTAGTACAATAATATAGCAATACAATATAATAATGATCAGTGACAGTCTTTTTGCATTCTATTTTTAGTGACCCAAATTAAGAATTCGCTGATTTGTTTAAACATATCTAAATGTATCATTTTCTGTAAATTTAAATTCATTTATTTAGCTATTTAAATTTAACTGCTATCTTTTAATGTGATAATTTATGATTATTCGACCTGATATTCGACCAAGATGAGTCCGGTAAAATAGTGAATTTACTTCAAATGCACCCACTTTGTCTATTAATGACATAGATATGCGAAAAATAAATCGAGTCGATAAAATAGCGGACCTCAGAAACTAAGGCAAGGAGAGCATTCTCGAATGGTGACTTAGAAAGCGATTAGGCAATTCGATTTAGGAGGAAGTTTAGGATGAAACAAGGCTCGATTTAGCTTAGAAAACGAGCATTGAATGGTTTATAGTTGAATTTGTTTATTTGCTTACTATTTTTGTTTTCTCATGTTTTCTCGTATATAAGCTTCAAAAGAAATGAAAATTTTCAAAAGTTTTAAAATATTTTGGTTTTGTAAATATTCGGAAAAAAATTAGGAAGGAAGTTAACCGCAAAAAATTGTGAAGATGTTTAGCAAAACGGCTAAGTTGTTTAGTTTAATCAGTTCATCTTCATTTTATTTTATTTTTTGTTGATAACCTCTTAATGTATAATTATCATTAATTCAAGCGCTTGAAAATTCCTTTGTTTGTTCTTCTAATTGTAAATATAAAAAAATAAAAAAGAGAAGGGATTTGGTTATTGGTACTTAGTAAAAATATACTTGCAAAATTGGCGCACCTTCGTCCTTTAATTGATTCGTCGACAAAATTTGTTTCATCACAATAGTCAATGAAATTTACTAAATTAATTTTGGTAAGTGCTGTCAAGAAACTTATTTACTTATTTATTTATTCAATATTTATATAATTTTAAAGAGAATTTAAAGATTATCAACTAATTTGATATTCTAAAAAGTTTTTTTTTTGAATTCAGAACTATTTATTTTTCCATTTCACTGAATAAAATTCCTGCAAATTATGGAGTATTAATTTTTTATTTCTATTTTTAGCAAATATGTTCAATGACGAACAACAATGAATTAACAAATGATAGGAAAGAGTGAGTGATATTATTGTTTCGTCAAATTAGAAGAAAGAGCGATTTCGAAAATAGTAACGAATTTCCGGAAAAAATTTTTGAAATTAATGAAATCGCGAAGATTGTTTTTCTAACGGTTAGTTAAGCGATTTTATTTTATTATTTTGTCATTTAAATTTTAAATTTTTATTTTGTCTAATTAAAAGTTCACTCTTTTTTGATATTTTTCGAGATTAATTATTATTACTTTTTTTAATATTTTTATAATTTTCAGAAAAAATAAAAAGTATTTCTGAAATTTTTTGAAAATGGTTCATAGAAGAAACCATTGTAAACTATTTCTATACGTTGGATTAAAAAATGCTTTAGGCTTTTTTTTTTCACATTTCATTCCTTTATTGATTTATTTGCCTATTTAAATGGGTGAAATTTGCAATAGTTATTTTTATTTGCTAGAGCACCTGCGTTAATTCGAAAATTTTTCAATAAAAATTGTCAACATTACGATTTTGTTTGACAATAGTCTAACGACATCTGTCATTTTTATCACTGAAAAATTATGATTTTTCGCTTATTATTCGCAATTCTTCCAATATTTTATAGCTTTTGGCATCAAGGCGATACACTTAATTTCTATAATCATGGCGATAGGGTAAGAAAAAAAAATTATTTTTTATGAAATATTCATTCATCAGATTTCTTCCTTTGGTGCATTTGAATTATTCAAAAATTTGAGAATAAAATTTTATGATAATTGTCTTAAGGAAATTGTTTACTATGCAAAAATTGAAAATTTGCAATGAACCAATAATGTAATTTTGGTTAAATAACAATAAATTAGTTTTTCATAAATAATCAGTCTTTTTTTAGCGTTCGTTGTGATTTCGCTTTCAGTGATTTTAAATTTGTTTGATATTTATTCAAAAAATTTTGAATTATCGAATTTTTTCATCTTTGATTTCAATAATCAATATAAATTTAAAAAAAATTAGTATAAATATTTTCTTCGAATTGTTTTAAAAAAATTTTATTACAGCTTGAAGTACTCGTGAATAAAATTGGTCCATATGCAAATGTGCATGAAACTTATCCATTTTATCAATTACCATTATGTCGTCCAAAAACGGTAAATAAGCAAGTTTTATTATTTGCTTCCTTTTTTTTTCAAATACTTTTAATAGACTGTAATTTAGTATTTAATATAAATTTCTTTAGTTTATTGATTATGCTAGTTTAATTATTCGATATTTTATTTTACATATAAATAATAATAGTTTAAGGGAGTTTAATTTTTTTCATAATTATTATTGAAGAAATTATGGGTGCTTAGCGTATTCTTATGATAATAATTTATAATAATTTTGATCATAGCTTATAAATTTTCGATTTAATTGCTTCTACAAGATGTTTTATAGATAAATTAAGAGTAGGCGAATGTTGATTGTTTTCTCTTATTTTTTCCAAATTGCTATTTATTTAAGATAGTCCACAAAACACTTTCATTGGGTCAACTTTTGCAAGGCGATCGTTTGGCGTTATCACCATTTGTGATAAAATACAGGCAAAATTTGGAAAAACGATCTTTATGTGGACCATATAGATTGACTTTAGAGGAAATAAATCAACTTAAAGAAGCTATTGAAAGAAATTTCTATTTCGAGATTGTTATAGGTTATTTATTTATCATTTATCATTTTTATTTTTCGAGTTTTTTTATTTCAGTTTATATTGAATATTTATATTGAATATTTTGTAGGGCTTCTTTTAATAGGAAAGCGATTTAATAATATTTAAAACGGTTTTATACAATTAATATTCATTTACTTCTAAATTTTTCCTTATCATTTTGATGATAGCTGAAGTGTTATTAAAAAAAAAATTTTTTTTTCGATTATATCAAGTTTTATCAATTAATTTATTAACGTTATTAATGTATCATTATTTTAGATGATATTCGCGCACAAATGTATTTCGGTAAAGTCGACGAAACGAAAACGTTTCCACATGAACATATTGTTTCTATATTTACCCATTATATTATAGATATAGGATTCAGTGACGACGAGGTTAATTAATGAGTGATTTTTTTTTCGTTATTGATATGATAATGAAAGGGGTACGAGTGGTATTGCTTCCATTGAATTCAACATTTCATGATTTCATTACCTTTCCTATCTGTTAAGGCGATTAAAATAATAGTTCTCGATGGAATCATTCAAACCAGAAGCGATGAGTGCTATTGGAAGAAAATTTGAGATTCAATAAATAAATGATTTTTAGAAAATTAATATGAAAAATTTATTTTATTTTATCCATTAATTTTTCTTAGATCACAAGTGTCGCTTTGGATAATGATCCTGACTCGGCAAGAGATTTAGAATCGTTTAAAGATAAAGAATTTGAACTTTTTTATAGTATTAATTGGATTAAGACTGAGTAAGTTTGAAGGTTTTTTTACTGTTTGTTTTCACAGATAACAATTTAATTGTTTTAAAAATGGATTCTTATCGTTAGATTTTTGTAGACAAACAAATGAGCAAAGATCTTTGGCTATTTCAAGTAAAAAGTTTCATATTACCTTTGAAATAATTTAAAATTTTGTTTAATGATTTTTTCAGTGAGGAAAGTCGACATGCATTTGAGAGGACACAGTTTCTAAAGATTAAAACTAAAAGTGTTGAATGGCTAGCACTACTTATTTCTTCTTTACTTCTTCTTTTACTTATATTCATGTTCGCAATCGTGCTAATTTCTGTGGTAAATTTCCTCTACCTATTATTTTATATTTTTTGATTTTCTGAGATTCTTCAAACAAAGCTTGAAGTATATTTTGGAATCTTGAGGTAAGAAGAGATTTGGATCGTTATAATCGTGCTTCTGATCAAGACCTTCTTCTTGAGCAAGGTTGGAAGATCATCTCTGCAGATGTGTTTCGCGTACCACTTGAAGCCAATTTTCTATCAGCTATCCTGGGTATAAAATTTTTCGTTAAATTCTTAATTCTTATTATTTCGTTGATTGAAATTTCTTATAAAAATCGCCAGTTGAATTATTTGTTTTAAATAAACGTTCATGCGTTGTCAAATCGTACAATATTTATATCGTATTTATATCTAGGAGTGGGATCGCAGTTTCTTTTCTTAGCTGTTTTTATTTTGATTATCGGATCGACTGGATTTATAAGGGAACACCAACATGATGCTCTAAATACATTGGTTATTGTACTATATGCTTTAACGTCAGGTTCGTTGTCTCAAAAGTTATCATTGTTCATATTTATCGTCTTAATTATAAGCAGCATTCTCTTAAATAATTACTCATGCAATTGTATGAAATAAGAACAGTATCAAAAAATTTTAGAATTCTTCTAAAACTATCCAATAATTTTTTTGTATTTAAGGTATTGGCGGTTATGTTTCAGCTCGAGTTTATTCGCAACTCAAAGGAAAAAAATGGTTTTCTAACGTAAATCTGACAAGCAGTTTGTTTACCGTTCCCATGTTGCTGATATGGGCATTAAATAATACAGTTTCTTGGGTATATCAATCAACGCAGGCTTTACCATATACAACTGTTTTAATATTAGCTCTATTATGGTTGTGTGTTGGATATCCGCTGACATTTATTGGTGCATCATTCGCTAAAAGTGTTGCAGTTAAATATTCGCCACCTTGCCGCACTCGTACCATTCCGAGAGAATTGCCAAATTTGCCATTTTATTATTCTAATATACTTTTTATGTTTGTTGGTGGATTGGTACCTTTCAGGTTTGTTAAATTTTGCGAGATTTTGCTATAAGTGTGGCTGATATTTTTACGAATTGGCTGTAAAATTTAATAATCAGCTTTTCAGCGCTATGGCAGTCGAGCTTCACTATTTATTTATAACCGTTTGGGGTCGAGAAGTACAAATAATTTTTTATGTTCTTATTATAGTTCTATTTCTGGTGCTGTCTGTTGTTGCTTTCTGTTCTGTTCTTTTAATATATGTTCAGTTAAATTGCGAAGATTATCGATGGTGGTGGAATTCTATATTAATTGGAGGGTAATTTTCTTATTTTTTAAAATTTTTTCCAAAATTTTTTTATAATTTTTCAATTTTCTTCGTTACGTTTTCTTTTGCTTATTAACTCTGGCGAAAAATTCCGAAAATTTGTGAATTAATACTTTAATTAATCGGTTGTATTTGTATTTTATTTATAAAATTATAAAAATTCGGAAGAAAATAAAAATTGGTCATTTTTTATTTTATTAATTTCAGATCGGTTGGATTTTTTGTGTTTTGCTATGGGCTATTCTTTTATTTATATCGTACTGAAATGTCAGGAATATTGCAAATAACTCATTTCTTTTCGCATCTTATTCTGCTTTGCTATATATTTTTCCTTGCGATGGGAACTGTATCGTTTTTTGCTTGTCGTTTCTTTATCCATTTCATTTATTCAAGAGTCAAAACTGATTGAAAAATTGATTAGTGTTAAAACTGATTAGTGTTTTCCAGTCTATTTATTGTCTTTTCGAAAAATTTTAATCAGAAAACAATAAGAGAAGATGTTCCACTAAACTGAACGTTGGTGAAACGTTGATTTGGTTTGAAATATTTTTATAATTTTTATTTGTGAAGTAAAAAATTTTAATCTGTCATTTTATTATATTTTCTGTTAATTGTGGCAGTTTCAACATTCTTTCTTCAATTTTTTGATGCATTGTATAATGTAAATATAAATGAGGACCCATATTTATTCGAGTACCATCTGTAACCTTTAGCCTAAAACATGATAAATGTTCCAGCTATATTACGGCTTCAGGGATGGTAGATGCAAAATCTTCGTTAAAATTAGCCTCAAAAAATTCCTTCCACTCCAGAAATGAGCCCTAAAAGGCGCATTATCGTTTTCTGAATTTTGGTTGCTTTTTGAAGGGGGCATCCTATAATGGCTTACTCGAGGAGCCGTCTGCACATGTTGTTGCATATTTTCAAGTATCTGGTGTATGTGTGTTCCGGCAGCCTTTTCGATTGGATTGTATAATTGGATTGTAACTTTCGATAGCCAACTAGTGCATTCAGGAATGACGTACTCTAGTGTTACGTTATTTCGATTGACTTTTGGAGGCACATCTGAAATTTAACGGCTTTTCCAGAGATCTCGTTAATATTTATATCATTGAGGTACTGCAATGATTCGGTTTGAAATTCTGTTATTCGTGAATTTTTTAGTATGAACTAATCGAAAGATTATGGATGGCATTGTTCCTTGTATGATATCAGTTTTAGTACGGATTTTGGCTGGGACCATAACAAGGTCTGGTCCATGAAGATTCTAGTTTCAGCGCTTGGATAGGAACACTTATCTAGTACGGAACTTTTCCAACAATAATTGGCAAAAATAAAATTAATCTGGTTAAAGTGTTCGTTATCCGGAGAGTGGAATTTCATTAATTGTTTTCTCCTTTGTCGAAAGCAGGTACTGGTTGAAAAAAGTATATTGTCGCAACCATATCTCCTAACTGCAGAGCCTGTCATGATCTATTCCATTAGCTATTAGGTTAGAATAAGTACTTAGTAGTTGAAGAGTCTACCATTTGCAGTTGCATCTAAGGTATGAACGTATAAATACATAGATAGAAATATTGCAGACTGGATCATAGGCCATATATTCATCTCCCTTATCATTAACCATCTTCTGTATCAGAGCGGATCGGACTATTGCAGGCAAGATCCTCCATATCTGTTCGTCCCGAAGTGACTGAAATGAAATGTCAAGTGTCACAATGGTACCTTTGTTACGAGCCTAATATAATTGAGACCTTGCTGAGACAATTGGGTGAGAGCTTGGCGAGCATATCTACATTATTCACGGGGAAAGTGATAAAGTAGAAAATAAAGAAAGTTGAAATAACTAAATTTATGTTTAAATAGTTAATTAACATTATTCGATTCATTTCATAAGATTTCACCACAATTTTTTTGTTTGATTATAAGGTTTCAGTCAAATCTTCGTGATATTTTTTCATGACGCAATTTTTATGTTTTTTTTCCTAATGTTAAAATTTTTAGCCATAAAAATGACCGAAAATTTAATCACTTTGGAAGAAGTTTCAAAGCATAATACACAACAATCAACGTGGCTCGTAATTGACAGTAAGGTTTGTTTCAGATTTATATTTAAGCATTTTTTTTTTATTACTGTTTTCTGATAACAATACTGATAATAAATCCTGTATTTAAGGGCAGAAAATGAGTTATATGGAAATTTTTTATTTATTTTATTGAAAAATTTAGCTTTAAATATAAGCTAAACTGTTTGAATCATTCTATGGTAGCAAGGGAGAAAGAAACAGTGAACGGTAACGGTGATTTCGGGCAATGTAACGGCTTTTGCAAAGTTCAGTTTGAAGCGATGGAACTATTTTAATTGAATTAACCAGTTTTTAGGAGATGAGTAGTTGAGGAAAAAATTAATTTCATTCATTTATGGCTTATTCCAGAAATCACTGTTCATTTTTTTGATTTCTTTTTTAATTCCATTTAATTTAGGTATATGATGTAACGAAATTTCTTGAGGAGCATCCGGGTGGTGAAGAGGTATTGCTTGAAGTTGCCGGTCGTGATGCAACAGTTAATTTTCATGATGTTGGTCATTCAAAAGATGCAAAAGAATTAGCTGAACAATATGCGATTGGATATATTAAGAAATCTGATGATTTTGTTCCTAGCCAAACGAATATATCGGGTTCAAAAAGTGTTACGTGGTCGGAGATTATATTCAGTCCAACTTGGAGTAATTTTTTGATTCCTGTGGCACTTTCAGTTATAGTTTATTCATTTTATACTCTGTCGAAGTCAGCACTCAACAAGATATTCTAGAAAATCAGAATCAACTACGCCAACTTTTTAATAAAATCTCGTTTTATGGAACGGTTTATGTTAGTAATAATTCCAGTTTAATACGATAATTCATAGTTGGTTAAGTTGAATTAGGTTGATCAAGTGTTTTATTCTTTAGGTATTAGAAGATAATTAGGAATAATGAGAGAAGTATATACCTTTCATAATTCTTCTAGTATAATTTCTAAATTCTCAGTTAAGAATTATTAAGAATTTTAAGAATTAAAAAAATTCGATTGCTTTAATTCACAAATCTACCTTCTATTAATAATAAAATCCCATTAATTTTTCATTGCATTTTGTAATTATCTCATAGATTTCTCTTTCGTGAATCTTTTTACGGATATTTTTCACTTAATATTACTATAAATATAAATTACCACTGAAATTTTTTTCATCGTGTTTTTCAGTAATTTTTCACGTTATTTTTTTTAATTGTTAGTTTACAGGATTTTATGTTAGGATTTATTTTATTGATAATTTTCAATAATTGTCTTGTTTTGTGAATTTGATCGAATTGATATTAGTTTTTTCTTGAATAAAAAAAAATTTTCATTATTATCAATGGTTTTTTTTCAACCAAAACTTTGCTTTCGATTTGCATATTTGCTTATTATTGGCTTAGCATTTGTATTATAAATATAAGCAAAATGGTGAATTTTCTAGACGATAAAGACTTGGCGGTGATCGCCGGTGATTTATTTTGATCGAGAATAAGGATTTTTTTTAGGCTGTTCTCTTTTTGTGATAAAAATAAATCTATGACGAGATGGAGTCGTTAATTAAGTGGTGAAATGGGATTGTTAGCATCTCGCGAACTGATGGTTATGATCGGTTATAATTGCGATAAAAATTTTAGGTTGGTGAGGAATGGACAGTTATTTTGCCGAGCATAATAATGATGAGGATATCGGCAATAGCTATTTGGTCATGGCGAGGTTGGTTCATTAATTAGATTTTAATTTTATTTTTTTTTCAAGACTCCTCACCATTACTAGTTAAATTCGTTCCACTGGCTTGTCGCATTGCCAGGGAGTTCCTTGGCGATAGAAATACAGGTGAGTCGCTAGCATCATCCGAATTAGGTTTTAATTGGGCAGTCATAATTGGATTTTGATGGTCAGATTTTTTTAAGGCGAAACTGAATGTAATGTTTATTTTATTTTAGATTCTATAGATTATAGGTTATTAAGTTATAAATAACTTTTTTCAGTTTTCATGAATTTTATTTAATTATACACTTATATTATACAGTCTTCTAAGTTCTTATGGTTTCAATTTAGTTTTTTATCATTCAGATTGGATGGACGAATTTAACTTCAGTAGCCTCAATGCTAAGAGAGACCATAATAAGCAATATGCCTTATGCATGGAAATTAAGCGTATCATGCATATAGGCAGTTTTCATTTTTATAAGAACTTTTATCACTTATAGATTACTTATCCAGAGTGGATGGAATGAAGAATTAGGACTTACTTGGGATCAGCTTTTTCCAGAGCCATCCAAAAGTGCTTCACCTGAGGCAATAGCTAAATTGGAGCGATTGATATCCGCAGATTTACTTCATCCAGGTTTATATCTGCTTTGATTTTTTGCATATATTTAAATCCAATGATGATTTATTATTTATATCGAATAAAAATTTGCCTTAGAGTTTTAATTCTTTCTCGAGAAATGATTTAAAGTTAATTTAGATAAATCCTCTGATAAATAAATATTTTAGAAAAGTGCCCAATATGCATTATTTTTTGTGACAATACGATGAATGTTAAACTCATTCGTATGCCTTGTAATCATTTATTTCATGAAGATTGTGTCTTGCCTTGGCTAAAACTTAATAATTCTTGTCCGATGTGTAGATATGAGCTTCCATCAAGTGATCCTTTATACGAAGAATATAAAAAGCAGAAGGTTTTTTTTTATTTAGTTTATTTCGTCAATAACTATAAGAATTATAGCTGATGAGAGGAGTGCATTGTTTAAACGACAAACTAATTTCCATAATTTTAAATTTATTTCATAGGAACGCCGTGAAAGACGTGACGCTGATTTGGATGAACTACATAATTCTATGTTTTCATAATTTCTTTTCTATTTAGATATATATATTAGAAATATTTGTTAAAAATTAATTTTTATAGCTATATTTTTTGCTTGATTAATATGTTGTATTCTTTTGCTTATCCTTACTTAACGAATAAAATTTGATTATTTATTTAAAATTCAAATAAATAAAATTTTCGGATGTATATTTTAGGATTTCATTACGTTTACGATTAAGAATACCAAAAATATATATAATATGTTAAGTCGTTTTAAAATTTATTAGCTAAGACGATGATGAATGAAATGGAAATAACTCCATGCATAGACTCACTCCATGCTAGCTGTTAACGCAGTTAGAAATTTTTATCATTTGATTGTGAAAATACCTTCGAGTGGCCAATACAGTCCGGATTTTCGCTCAGTTAGGAGCCAAACCGTTGACTCTCAATAATCCCGATAATCCTGAATTACTATCCATTATGGCTTATTTTGCGATATTTATAGAAAAGTAAGCTGATGTACATAGACTTTTTGATTAAATTGATATTTTTAGTTCAAAAAATCAGTTCAAAAAAAAAATGGTTAAATTTTTGAATATATTGAATTAGGAATAAAAATCAGATTTAAATTGGAGATTTTAAAATTGAGATTTACTTAAGAGAGATTTGTTCTTATTAAATTTGGCATACAATAGATAATTTGCCGGCTTAGAATTTGAGTTTAGGCTTAGGCTTAGGTTTTCTACTTCAGTTGATTTATTAATATCGTAAAATAAGTTTATTGGCCAATCTCTATTCTGTGTTCACTTAAAGAATTCTCCGAATCAACGGTTTCAAAATTTGAGTGATATATTTAGTTGAATTGTTGCTTCTTGTCAACGAAAGTAAACAGTGTGCGATTATTTTTGACATTGGCTCTATTTTTGCTATTTACTTTAAAGGTTTGCATAGATTTATTGAATCGAAATAATTTCTGGCATGCCAAACTATCTTAAGAGTTCAATTTTAGACTAAAAAACTTATTTTCATTTTAGTGATATTTGCTGATTTTTAGTAAAAAATATCGCCATCAATATTTGACTAATAATTTTTCATTTCTCTTTGCCATCGTTGAATGAATGAAAAGCGAACCTTTTAATATCATTTAAAAAAAGCAATGGTACTCAGCGATGGTACTGAAATGGCGAATTTAAGTACACTGTTACACTGCGATAGCGATAGGAACGACTATCTAGTACGAAACTCTTCTAACTGTGACTGACTAAGATATAATCAATCTGGAGGTGTTAGTTATCCGAGGAGTTCCACGTGACGTGATGTTTTCTATGATGCCAGAAGCAAGTATTAGTAACGAAAAGTTTATGTTCTTCGGCATAACAAAAAAGACTCTATTACGAAGCTGTTGTAGATTTGTCCACAATTATTGTTTGATAATTTTTTTAAAAAAAATCTCAATGAAATTTCCGTTTTAGTTCTATTTGAATGTTAAAAATGAGTCAAGAATACTTCAATATATGAGAATAGTAATTTTTCAAGCAAAACTTATATTGTCATGGATTATAATAAATTTATTAAAAATATTAAAAATTGAAAAGGAAATAATAGTTGAATAATTTTCAAGATTAAGCAAACAACGCATGGGTGCTGATTGAATTATTATCGTGTTTTATTTAATTGTCCAAATTCTCTAAAAAGTGGTTATTATAATGTTATCTCATAGAAAAATATATATTTTAATATTTTTTTTATTCGTATTTTAAGTATTTTATCATTTTTCCTATCCTCAATGGTATATTCTTTGCATTGCGGAGCATAGAAAATGGCTCAGTGAGTGTAGTTCTGAATTCAGTGAGTGGTAGTTGTTGAATGAATTCGGGGGGCGCCAATGCTGAGATTCTACTCATGCCGCAGGAATATAAATATACCCAAAAAATTGCGTGATGGTGGCGATTCATCTAAACTTCTATTGCCAAGCGAGTCCATAGCATATTTTTCTAGTGCCAGCGGTGCGAATTTAATAGGAAATTCGATAAAACATGATGAAATTATTGTAAATTCGCGAATAAATCTTAGCGAATTAAGCTAATTATCGTGAATCCTCTTAAAATTTTTCTAGCGGTGAATTTTAATAAGAAATAATTTTATATGTAGGAAAAACTTATCACAATTATAATTCTGGCAAATGATCATAGTTCTATTAATATTTCAAACGGAATTAGCATTGCCTAATTAATTCTCTAATAGATTATTACTATTATTATTAATAGAATTTCAAAATTGGCTTATTTAGATTAAAATAAGCCAAAAATAAAATATACGAGTGATATTACTAAATGATATAATAAATGATAAAGTAAATAAAGCACACTGATAATAATAGTTTATAATAAAAAGAAAGAAAAAAATTAATAAAAAAATTGACAAAATTGATAAAAAATTAGAATTAAAAATAGAATTTTTAGAATTTAGGTTTTTTTTTTAATTTGGAATTCTATAATTTTTTATGAGTGGAAAATATTTTCAATATTTTCTTGTTTAATTCGAAAGAAGAAAATTGAAAATTTCTTTTATGAAAAATATAATGCTAATTGCTATTTTGTTTTCAATTATAAATCTCGTTTCAATTATAAAATTATTAAAGAAATAATTTTTAAAATAAAAATCCTATAAGATTTTAGTAAAGAAACAATATTTTGCGAATAAATAAGAGTGGTCCGAGTCGATTATTTGTCGAGCAATTGTCACTTTGCTAATTATTTCACTAATTGTTTTGATAATGGACGGACGATCGTTTGTGAGCAATTAATTCAACTAATTGTTGCCTCTTTTTTTACTTTAATTTTGCCATAAAAAAAGGAAAAAAAAATGAGATCTTTATGGATCTTTAAAAGGTCTCTTATTTTAGGTTTCTTTTGAAAATATTAGTTGTTATAAAACACTCGGAAAATATATAGCAGACTTAATCAGCACAATGGAATGAATAAGACCGCCTTTCGAGGTTCTGAAAAGGCATTGCTTATCGTTCCTTATCATTTATGCTTATCACCACTCATTTCAAGTTTTGCAGTTCAAGAATTGTGAGATTTTGTTTAATAAGTAGAAATGTTTCACAATATTTTCATAAAGTTGAATATATGATAAGTTTGTTAAGCTACATTTACAAAAAAAATAAAAAATAGCCGTTAAAGTCATTTAATCATTAATCACTAAAAAAATGAATATTGTTTCGAAACGTATAATAAAAGAAGAAGCCATTTTATACTGAATGACCACATTTGCATATCATACAAGAAAAAGTACGACAAGACGATACAATGGTTTGTTGGTTTGATTAAGATCACCATATTATTTTTCTTTTTTCCTCTTGCTAATCTCTGATAAGATTTATCATCTTTTAATAAACATATCATTAAAAGTGAAATCGGTTCACCATAAGATTTCACTTCATCTTCATTCGATTATCAGATTAGCCAAAGAAGTCGTATTATATAAATTCTATTAGTATGCGAAAAAAATAGCAAATAGGCCATATTTTAAGGAGATTTACAAATACATTTATAAAATAGGCCTTTTCGATGAGACCGCTTAGAATTTGAAATGCAATCGCAGATCAAATCAATCATTGCTATTTCTATGAAAATGTCGGAAATTTAATCATTGCATGAAAATGTGGTGAAAGAGGTTTGTCCTTATTAATTATATCATTTAATATACCGAAACCGGTTCGATGAACTCGATTGCTTTCGTATATTTATCCAGTTTTAAAATCTTCCAGCTCTAATAATCATTCCACATCTCCTAGAAATTTCGTTTAGCAAAGGCGTTCGTTCATCACCTAGTTTATTTATTTATTTATTTATTAAAATATAAGGCGGTCATATTTTTGATACAGGGTGGAGCAGAACTAGTCAATGGTTTACGATGATCTCCTCTTCAATGATGGACATCGTCCGCTTGTTGACCCATCTATCGTTTATTAGCTTTGTTATCTCTTGCCTCCTTGATAATGATAGAAGTTCTGTTTATATTTCAGTCTTTGAAGATCTTCCACCAGGTAAATAATGCATATTTTATTTATTTTTTATTATTTATTTTATTTTATTCCTTATAAGACCTTATAAGGCTTTAGGCTAATTTAGTAATATACAATAGATAAGATTTTCGTTGGATTAATAATATTGTGGAAATGTCATCAAATAAATTATTTCAGAAAGGAAAATTTTAATATTTTTAATAATTTTAATAGTTAATTTAAATTTTAATTTTTTACTAATTTTTATTTTATCTAAATCTAAATTTAAATCTAAATTTTAATTTTTTTTTCTGATTGTATTCAACAATTGTAAGTAGTTTTGCTTCAGTTGATTTGTTAGACTTTTATTTAAAAACTTTTATCATTTGTTTTATCGTCAAAAATATAGTTAAGCCGTTAGTACCAGACAAGGATTTTTTAAAGGCAAGCTTGTTATTATCAGTTCTCATATCATCGCTCATATATCACTCTAAGTTGAGATGGAGAAATAAGCCTTCTTTCTATCTTTTAAATCTTCTCCTAACAGCTCTCACCATTGCTGGTTAGGCTCGCTCCGCTGGCTACAAGTGTAAAACTCCAAGCTATCCGGTCCGATGCCAACTTTAGTAGCAATAGAAGCCATTCCTTTTTCCTTCGTTTAAATTTTTTATATATTGCTAGTCCACCTATATGTTCAAAATCTTTTCTCAATTTTATTTATTTTTTATTATTTATTTTATTTTATTCCTTATAAGACCTTATAAGGTTTTAGGCTAATTTAGTAATATACAATAGATAAGATTTTCGTTGGATTAAATAATATTATGGAAATGTCATCAAATAAATTATTTCAGAAAGGAAAATTTTAATATTTTTAATAATTTTAATAGTTAAATTTAAATTTTAATTTTTTACTACAATTTTTTTTTCTGATTGTATTCAACAATTGTAAGTAGTTTTGCTTCAGTTGATTTGTTAGACTTTTATTTAAAAACTTTTATCATTTGTTTTATCGTCAAAAATATA